ATGGTTAATCGGGTATTGCTCGGGGATTGGGGGAGGGTGGAGGGGGAAGATATTGTCGCGTCGTCTATTAAAATGAAGACACGAGTAGTTTCTAGAGAGAGAGAGAGAGAGAGAGAGAGAGAAAGGCTTCCGAGAGAGAGGCGGCGAGAAACAAGATCCTATTGCCAGGAGGCAAAAAGCCCGTGATTCCCGTGATTCATGACACTTTTTACGCTGGCTGGCCGGAATAATTCATCCTAATGCTCCTGCTAACTGCCCGCGGCCGTGGCGGTGGTCGATTGTTTATTGCCAAAAAGCATCTCTTTAATATATATATATCATCGCCTCTCCGCTCCTCCGTGTTCCGGACGATCGTGTTCCAACGTTCACGAATAAAAAAGTGGCAAGGACGGCGCGAGGAAGCGAGGAGGTGGCGCGAAAACGAAACGAATGGATCGAGATTTTTTTTCCCCCCTTTTTTCTTTTTTCTTTTTTCTTCTTTTCCCCGTAACGGAACGGATCTCGAACGAGCCCCCCTCAGACTTTTCGATCGGCGTAAATCCGGGTGTATATGTGTGCGCGCGCGCGCGTATGTGTGTATAAAACGCGAACAAAGGCGGGGTCGAGTCATCTTGCGGTCTCGTCGAAATTGTCGAAGACGTGGGGGGGGGGGAGGGAGGGTGGTTTAATCGCGTCACTCCGTGGATCCGCGACGTCGAGGGTTGCTACTCTTTGTGCGCGAAAGGTGAACTCGTTACGGAGGGGGGAGGGGTGAATGGGAGAACGATTCGAGATTAATGAATGTCGATCATATTTCGACCAGGTTCGCGGTCTGTAGAACGCGTTTGATGGAGAGAAGGGTACAGTTTTTTTTCCCCCTTTCGGTGTCGGTGCGACAGACCGTCGAGTATCAACAGTGATTGCAAAACGACCACGCGGACCAGGAGTGCCGTTAGACACGTGCATTAATAACACTCGACATTCAGTATTCTTCCAACGCGCAGACTGGTTTCTCTATTTCTCTGTCCTCCGCCGGCCTCCGCGAACTTCTCTGCCAGCCACCAAACTGGATTTTCAATACTTGATTTTACGCGACAAAACCGAATATTTCGTTATATAAATATACGTATATATATATATAAAAGTATAGATAGAGGAGATCGTTAATCCTGGATATATTTATTTACCACGATTTATGCGCGTGTTCCTTTTATCGGATACTTTTCAAGCCTTTGAAGAAGAGTAGGCGTGGAGGAGGTTTCTTCTTCGTAAGGAGAAAAATTTCATTGCTCAGGGAAGAAGAGACGGCATGGATACGCAAGGGGAGGGCAAACGTTGGGGGAAGAGGGGAAAGGGCGAGGCAAAGGCAAAGTGAAAGTTGCGGTAAAATTGACGTACGCGTGATAGAGGTGTATTAATTAGTGACGGAGGAGAAAATAGCGAGCGAGCGATAGGCCTCGGGGTTGAAATCGTTAGCGAGGGGGTTTGCCTCGCGATTCCGTGAGTTGACTCACCATGTCAATTCTAATTGCGTTTGACAGTAATTTGGCAAGGGAGGGAGGGTTTGATTGACAGTCAGTTGAACGCTCCAAGCCGTTCTTTTTGCGCTTTCTCTATTCATTTCCCGCGTTCTTCGTCCACGCCAACGATACTTTGTACGAAGCAACGTGTATTCGAGCAACGTGTATACCTTGTGTATTCCCGATAACTTTCAACCTTGATCCAAGATCGATCGATATCTCGAACGTTTCGAACGTTTTTGAATAATTTTGACATCTATGTCTCGTTGACGAGGAAAACGATAGGTAAAAATAAACGATATGTATTCGTTCGCTTTAGTATCGGGGATGGTGAACAATTTTTTAACGTCTTAATCTAAATTAAATTTAATCAAAATTGGACGATAGATGGAATTGTTTTCGAATGATCGAAATACTTACTTGGCAGGATCGCAGCATCGTCTCGATTCTTCTAGACGAAGCGAAGAGAGAGAGAGAGAGAGAGAAAGAGAGAAAGGAAGATGGAATGTTATTGGCGGGCGAAGATAGAAAGTGATTTCGACACAAAATCGCGCGTGTAATGCCACCCGGTCGATTCATTTCATTAGACACGCAGCGAGGACGTGACGCGTGATCGGGTCCGACCCTTTTTACGATCTCACAATTCTTCGATCATTTCGACGCCGTGGTGAAGAGGAAAGCGTGACGAGGATGATGGCTGGTCCACGATGTTCCGGCCGCACACGCGTTAATTAAAGTTCGCGCAACGATGATACACGCGATGCATTTCTCGTCTCGTCCTTTTTTCTTCTCTCTCTCTCTCTCTTCTTTTCTTTTTTTTATTATTATTATTCAACCTACGAGTCGCGTGTCTCGGGAAGAATGCCTGTTAAATTATCGATAGTATCCCCTAATTAACGCGAGATGCACAACAATTGTATCGAGTTTCGATGTATCGATGATTACATACACGCGTAGCTTAGATTCTTTTCCCTACGTAAACGACGACGACGACGACGACGACGACTTACCACCCTCGCCAATTAACATTGGAAAAAGTTGGACAAGTTAAACGCCAGCTTACGAATGCTACGAGTTCTTTTCTTTTTCTCTCTCTCTCTCTCTCACTTTTTTTTCTCACATTCGATACTTGGAATCGTGAAACGAAACGAAACGAAACGAAACGAGAAAGAACAAAAGGAAGAAGAAAGGAAAAAATATCAACAGACAACGCGTGGATGGACAACGACGACAGGAATTTATACGTGTCCGAGCGACGGTGGACACCGACTAGGCAGCACCGACTTTGACAGCCAGAAAATAACTTTGACAAAAATATCGTAACGGCACGGGCAAAATATAATACGCGAGTTTCTCTCTTTGTTTCGGGACAATGGGTGAAATATAAGTATCAATGGAAATATTAATATCGAGGGGAGAATGGGAGATATCTCGGCTTAAATTTGTACGCGCTCGTACAAATCATTGCTGCGTCGGCTTTACTCCATGCCAAAATCGGCCGGATCGATTTTAATTCGAAATTAATTAAACCGCGAATCGATAAACCGTTCATTCAATCGATAATTATGCAAGTAAATACTTGGGGATGTTGTCGTAAAAAAAAAAAAATATGTAGCATAATCGAAGAATCAATGGATAAATACGATGGATCTTCCTCTTTCCGGTCGATTTTTCGATAATTAATAATTACCCCTTATCGTTTCGAAGAGATAGAAGGAACGAATCATAGCGATACACGACAGAGACGAAGGATAAATATTTGAGGGGAGAAACGTTACGCTCCATAGAAGAATGGGAGAAAGCAGGGAAAAGATGAGAGAAGAAAGGTTGGAGGAGACGAGAAAGAAGTAAGGGTGTAAGGGTGAAAGGTGTGAGAGAAGGAAAGGGAGATGGATGAAGCGAAACGGAGCCGGAGGTGGGTTTATCTCGCTCATCCTCATTAAAACCCTTCGCGGCCCACCCCTTTCTTCCTGCCTGCAGCTCTCTTGTTCCTCTTCCTCCTCGCCTTCTCTTCTCTTCTCTTCTCTTCTTCACTCCACTCTTCTCTCTTCCTTCAATTCGAATCGCAGCCGACCCCTCTTCCTCCCACCAACACGGACGACCACGACGATAGATAGACGACGACTCGGTTGTCCCAGTGTGTTGGTAACACGAAGACAAACACCGACGTTGAAAACTGCTCGACGGCGCGGCTGCGCTTTCTCGTCTATCACCGTGCGTGTGTATACGTGTGTGTGTGTGTGTGTGTGTGTGTCTACGCGCGCGCGGTATACCCGGTAGGCATCCCCGGCTCGTTGTAGCACGCTCTATTAATTAAAAAAATGGGGACTCCGAGGAATGCTGGTCAGCGACAGGGGGTGAGAGCGCATCGACGCCTCCGTAATTGGAGAGGGATGGAGAGGGAAGAATGAAGATTTCGTTGCTCTAACTACGCTCCTAATGATTCTTTAATCATTCCTTAATGTCGCTGGAAAAAATCTCTTGTCTCTCTTTCTCTCCGTTTCGCTACGTCGTTTCTTTCTCCCTCTCTCTCTCTCTCTTTCTCTCTTTATCGTTACGCACATTCTCTCTACATTCACTCTCACACTTCGCCAACTTCGACTTACGCACGCTTCGTATTCATTCTTTCTTAATCTTTCTTGATCCGTTGCATCCTTTTTGTTTTTTTTTTTTTTTTATATTCTTTTTCCTACGCGATTCAGAATCAGAAGAGAAATCGAGTCTTCGAAGTCTCTAAAATTATCCCCTTCGATTCTGACTTCTGAATTCTGTTCTCGACTCGACGATTTGGAAATCTCGGATAAATTAAAAAAAGGGGGGGGGAGAAAAAACTCGCTAATTTCGGCTATCTTCGGCTAGATTTTTCCCTCGAACCTACCAACCAGGAAAGAAATCTGTTGGAGCTCTCTCTCTCTTTCGAGTGCTCATCTTGTTCGGGTATCTTCGATATAACGAAGGGTGGTGGCTAAAACAAAGGGCCGGTCGCGGGTTGGTCGATAGTCCACGGCCGCCAATCAGGCGAGACCTCGCCGGCAACCCTCGTCCTTGCAACTTGCCATCCGCCGAGGGTGGGTTACACCGCGGGAGGAGAGAGAGAGAGAGAGAGTTTGCTCATCCCTGTAGGAGAGGAACTCGGAGAACGAGGATGGCCAGGGTGTCTCGTCGCCAGGGTTACGACTCCTCGGTTCGCGAAGACGGCTTCCTCTCCGCTCCTTCCGCGCCTCTTCGTGCTACGCCTATGATGGCTCCGTCTGTGTACATCTTTCCTCCTGTTTGTCTTGCGAGGGAAACGCCTCGTGAAACGGTGAACTGTCGAGGAATGGCGAGGAAAGAGGGAGAGGAGGAAGGAGGAGGACGATTCTCCTCGTTTCGAATAATCGAACTATCCTCTTTGTTCTCCCCCGTTATCCTCTTTTAAATCAAACGATTGATTCGTGGCCGGAGCGAATAAAGAAGCGAGAGAGAGAGAAAACCAAGTTCGGGAAATAAGTGGCCACCTCCTGTCTCAACGTATCTCGTTTATTCAACACTTACTTTTTATCATACATCCTTACGCGTAAGATCTACATAAAAACTTATTAAAACGAGCTTAATCATATGTTCATAACTGGTTCTGGGCTGGGGCAGCTTCGCGTGACGATTCGGTGCACGGTGTTCCCGGTGTTCTAAAACAGAAGAAAGAAGCAGCATTGTTATTCTCAGTCTTTCTGTGTCGTTCAAATTCGATTTTCGCTTATCGAATTATTATATCGTGTGAAAATAACTTAAAAGTTGGATAGATTTCTGATTCGATTATCGCATAAAAAATAAGATTTCGCGCGACCACGACGAAAAGAGCCACGACGAAAAGGAGGATGGGGGAGGAGGGGAGGGAAGGAAGGTCGAGGAACACGGGGGATTTCACTTTTGTGACGCGAACAAACGAGAGGCAATCGCTGTGATCGGTGATCAAGCCTTCGGTGCTTCCATCGTCGAAGTGGCGATATTAATTTATTCCCCGCGAAATGTCTCCCGTTCCGTTGGGATTCGAGCGGAAGTGAGAGAGAGAGAGAGAAGAAAAAGAAAACGTCCTCGCGATTCCGCGGATCAACGATCATCGATTGTTCCGAGGCGTCAGGGTAGAACGATCTCAGAACCATTATTAACCTCGCGCTCGCCTCCCGCGGGACGCCTCTTCCTCTGTCGTGTGCCATTTCTGCGCAGCCAGCACGCGTACACCGTAATTAATAATTGCGAGTAATTACCCTTATCTCGTTCCCCGATCGTATCCTAGCAATTTCAGGGTATCGATTTCGCGCTTTCGTTTCCCTCGGACAAAGTTCAATATCAGGATATCGATTTCTTTTCTCGATAATTACTCGGACGCCAATTATTATATTTCCATCCTCTCTATCTTCCGGCGGATAAAATATACGAAATATCCCTCCCTCGTTCTCGATCGAGTTTTCGTAAAAAAAAAAAGTTTTCGAGAAAGAAGAAAACGGCCGGGTTTCGGGTTTGCAATGAAACGGGCAAAGCGAAATCAATCGGTCACACGGGAGGAGGGGGAGGAAGACGAGCAGCGAGGTAGCGAATAAAGGAACGAGAAGAGAATAAGAAGGAGAAGAAGATTACGTAGAATAAGACGCGCGCATCATCTCCAAAGGGCCGTGACAAATGAATTTTTATTAAGCCCCGTCCCACCGCGGCTTATCAGCCGATCCGATTGGCACAATACCGCCACGAATGAACCCGCAATATCGAGGAGTCTCTCTCTTCTTCTCTCCCTCCCAACCTCGCCCACCCTCTGTAATTATTTTTACGAGGGTGAGAAGCGGCTGCTCTGCCGCTGACAGCCTCGCGGCGGAGAACTAGCTGACGGAGACACGGCGAGGACGAAGGCCAGAACCAATGAACCGTTCCATCAAACAGAGACACGAACCGGGTGAAACGCAGGTAGTTGTAGATAGAGACGGGCCCCACCCCTTTCTACGCTTTTTACGCTCCGCTCCTTCGAAGGCGGGGGTGGAAAAGGCGACGGAGACAATAAGAGGAGAGGATTCGTGTCATTGGCAGTGTGTCTCTGGTGGCCGGGAACTGACAGCCCACGGGACACGTGGCTCGAACACCTGTCCAGAGGAAAACGTGCGCGCCACTGTTTGTGCGGATCCGTTTAAAGTTCTTCGAACCAGATCTCGTTCACCTCGTTCGACCATCACAGCGTTCCTTCCATTCGAATTCCGTCCGTTGAATCGACGGATGGATATACGTCGCGATGGAACGTAGATTTCGAGATTTCGAAATCGCGCAACACTCGGGAATAATCCGTCGAAGAATTGGAAGACAATTGGAGTGCGAACTCGATCACTACAGTTCTGGATCAGTTTTGGAGGGGAAGAAGAAAGTTGGAAGAAAGTTCTTGGGTTTGGATTTTATATACTCGCGAGCAAATATGTCTATTTCTCGTTCTCTTCATAGGCTACTCGCACGCACGAGAATTCGGTCGGGTTATTTCGATCTTAACAGGATGATTCGGGCGGGAGGGGAGGAGAGAGGATGAGAGAGGGGGGGGAGGGAGGGAAGGGAAGGGAAGGGAAGGGAGGGCGAAGGATGACTCGGCGAGAAACGAGCGTTCGGCCATCGAGCGAGATGCGCCCGCTCTCTGGTTCAATTTCTGGCGTCAATTAAAAAGTGACGCGGACCGAGGAAAATCAGTAATTAACGAACCAGCCACCTTCGCCTACTCCTCCGCCCTTCCCAGCCTTCTTCTTCTTCCTCCACGATTTTGCTACCACCGACGAATCCTATCTATACCCGATTCTAATTTCTTCTCTAAACCTGATTAAAAATCGGTTGAAATTTTCATATAAAAATAACGATCCAAGGTGAGATCTCCATTCTTTTATCCCATTCTTTCCTAATCCATCCATAAAGATCCATCCATTCTTTTCCCCGTGGGGGGAAAACGTCTTCGTTCAAAATCGTTCGAATCCATTCGTTTCTACCCGATCTTCGACGAAATCTTAGAAAAGAAGCGTATGGATCGAGTTTAAACTCGGCCAATCTCGAAACACGAGCCATCGAATCAATAGGCCTTCTATCCGCACCGCAAACAAAATAACTCGTAGGATCGAGAAATCGAGGATCGTAATCTCGTTCCCGGGCCAGGTATCGGGAGGAGGGGAGGGGGAGGGGGAGGGGGGGAGGGTATCGTTAATGACGCCTCATCCTGTGACAGGGAAACGGTCAGGGCCGGGAGGATTTGGCATCGTGGATAAAAGGGAGAGAAGAGTTCCAGCTCAAGTTCGTTACACGCCGTGACTCGGCAGAGGCTCGGATCCTCTCGGAAGGTGTGCCTTCACAACCTTCTCCCTCCCCACCTTCGACACGTTTTTACCTCGGCGTCGGTCGCTCGTCATTAGCACCGGCCCCCCCCCCCCCCGGTAATTGCCAAATTCACGGGCCCGCCGAGGGCCGCGTTTAATCGGCCGATTATGGACGCGCCTAGCCCTGGGCGAAACTCGAAACTAGGGGAGTACGCGATCGTTCTTTCGATAAATCGCCTGCCTGTCATCGTGTCGAGATCGCGACCTCGACGATCGTTGGCTGGATTCAGATCGCGGAATGATCGCATCGCATCGAACGATCGTGGTGGTGAACGTCGAGCATCGAGGCGAGAAGAACCTTGGAGAAAAATTGGGGAAATGTGCGTCGATTTGGAGATTATCTCGCGTGGGAAAAGGGATGAAGAATCTGGTCGAGGCGAGAAGCGGAAAAAGCGGAGGAACGATTTATCACGGGACAATTTGGAAGACGGTTTAATATCCTTGGCAAAGAGAAGAAGGAGGAGGAGGAGGAGGAGGTTGTATCGCAATTAACCACGTCGACGGGAAAGGAATCGGTCCGGGATGATTGTTGGAAGGGGAGAGAGCGTGGAGAAATGGAGGCGGTGAGTACGCAAATAGAGAGGTGTACGCGAGGAGAACGCGCGAAATCGTTGCGGATCGCCGTGTATCCCGTGGCTTTTTGCCGGCGGCCGAGGGAAAAAGAAGAAGCCGGGCTCTGCGGCTAATTACCTGAAATAACCCATTAGTCGTGTATACACGAGAAATTATGGAGCAAAGAGCGAGACAAAGGGATAGATGTTTCATCTCTGACGAGTCAATCTTTGCCTTTGCGGCGGCCTTCGGCTTCTTCTCCTGGACCTTGTTGTTGTTTCCATGAATCAGCGGAAATTCGCGACCGAGGAAAATCGGCGTCGCGACCCCCCAATCCTTCCTTCGATCGAATCGTCACGCGCGCGCAAATCGATTACGGGCGATCGATCGTCGAGCATATCGTCGAGATGAAGATGTCTCGACGCGATTTCTCCAATTCGTTCGAGGTCAATAACGAATATGAACGAACGAGGACGAGGACAATTTTTAAATAATCGACGGATGTTGGAAACGAGGGGTTGGAAATTACTGGACGGTGTGTCGACAGTTTCGAAGGATCGGCGAAACTTATCCGATCCGATCCCCCGAAGGGGATGAAACGGAAAAGAGAGAGGCAATCATCGGCGATTTCATAGCTGTCGTTGTGCATTGGAAGCTTGTGAGGCTGGTTTCAAGGTTTCCTGCTGTATCAAACGGAGAATGACGAGGCGCATTCTCGTCTCTCACCCTTCCTCCTCGAGGCTTTCCCTTTCGAAAAAATTTCTGGCTACGACACCTTGCGCTACGAGCCGAGCACACCTCTTCGACCGCTCTGCCTAACGATTTAATTTTTAATTAAAAGGCTTCGACGCCTCGCGTTGAAAAAGAAGAAGAAGAAGAAGAAGAAGACGAAAAAAAAAGAAAACTATTTCGACCGAACCTGATACGTATAATTTTTTTTCTCTTCTCTGTATCATTTCCTCGAGACGAGAGACTAAGAAAGAAGCGTCGTTGAAACGAAACGATTATCATTATTATTATTATTATTATTATTATTACATTTATCGCCGATCAAAGCATTGCGCGGAAACGTTGCGCGAATTTTGGATCGATCGATCCGAGGGAACGTCCCGAGCCTAAGCCAAGCGAAACGAGCTCGTTCCATCAAACCGAAACTCGCAGCAAAACACTGGATCGGCGATTTTAATCGGCGACTCGAGTAATCGGTCACGGCGTGAGAGAGTTTCGGCGAGAGTTCGACTCGATTGCACGAAGATATGTCACGGTGATCCCGATCGCGAGGCGCTTCGCCTTGCCTTGCCTTGCCTTGCCTCGAATCAATTAAGTTTCCGTGTAATTGCTTTCTCGATCGTACGCGAACCAACCGTTAATAAAAAAAAAAAAAAACAATTATACGTTTACAATTACACGTATCGCGAACTGTCTCTCGTATCGCGTTGTATTGTACGCGATATTTTTATTATTTCGTCGAAGACGAAAACAAAATCATCGATCATTTTAATGAAATCGAGATCGCAGGAAAAAAAAATTGGACATTTCGAGGGTAATTAATATCGTGGAACGTATAAATTCGTGGCTTCGTCCGATCTCGCGCGATCATGGATGGAAAAGAAAACTCACCGCCAGGCGCGAAACAATCAAGGAGCCTGATCCTTCGGTGCTGAAGAGGTTCGAGTTGGCCGTGCCGAAGGACGCTCACGTGGGCCAGGATTCTTGTACGCGTACGTTGCTCGTCGCGTTCCAATCCCTGAAACACACACCACGAACACGTCTGAGCGATCAGTCGAATCCTTGCGGATAATCATCGTGATCGAGAGACACGTCGTCATTTCATTGATGATGAAAATTGATAGCGATGATGATATCACGAACGCCCATTAAGGGGGGCATTAAAATTAACGTTAAAAGCCTTTAATAACTTTCGTTGTTGGTAATTACGTTTACACGCGCGCGAGAGTGGGAGAATGATAAATGTGGCGAGAAGTATGGCGGATTCGGGTTCAAGGACAATCGTTTGGATCAAAGGAAAGTTCGACGCTTGAAAATTTCTTCTTCGCGTACGGGGATCGTAGCGAGCACGCGTTCGAGGCCCCTTGTTATAGATCTTCGTCGAGGTGTGAAAATGACGGATGGCCGTAACGAGACGAGAGAGAGAGAGAGAGAGAGAGAGGAGGGAGGAGAGAGAGCGAAGGCAGAAACTCCTTTTCTCCTCGCCTCCTTTCATTTACTCCCCCCTCCCCCCCGGCTCACGAACGTCACGCGAGAAGAAGTAATGAGCCGGCTTCGTTACTTAACGCCACGCAAGTCGTTTCACGCCCACGCGAGAAACAAGTTCGAGAGGGGGCCAGATTGATTCGAGAATGACAGTTACGTCCTCGAAGCGTCGTCCCCTCTTTATTACCTCGAAATCATTCCCTCTATTTACGTCGCGAATATTTGAATCGCACGCTCCGATACACTCGCGAAAGAAGAATTCGATTGACGTTAATAATAATAATAATAACAATAATAATAAATTTGGCCGGAGGAGGAGGAGGAGGA